CTTTTAAATGGGAGAGATCAAATTATATGTTTGCATGTAATCATTTAAAAAATAATAATATCTTCAAAAATCCACAGCATTGTTACAGAACAATGGATTTAATTATTGGGAAATGAGCTATTTGCAAGCAATTTCACTCACTGCCTGCGCTGATCCTGGGTCTGGGAAGCTCTGAAGGATAAGAAAATTGAAGAAGCTCTTTGAGGGTAATTTGAGTCTCTGCGTGTGAAGAAGTGAATGGGAAAGGTTATTTCTTTACAGCGCACAACTGGGAGCCTACTGCCACGGTTCACACCCTAGCTCCATTTCCATCCACATACCATAGGGCTGAGCAAATATCTCAATGGGACAGAGCTCAGTCTCCCAGTTTAAGAGCTGGGTTGCATCACAGTGGAAGACCCTATGCAAGGGTGGGTGTTGGCGGGCCCTGCCTGTCTCACCCACCCCGAGGGCAGGTGCACAGCTGAAGCTTCTTTGCTACAGGTGTGGAGAGGACTCAAGCAAACCCTTTTGCTCCCCTCCTGCTCCAAAATAGGCAGGTAATTGTGACCTGCTGCCCAGAAGGGTACTGCTGTGGCAACCAGTGCTTTGCACTGCTCCTCCTTCTGCCCCCTCTCAAGCTCATGCTTGCTTGTCTCATCCTTAAAGCTTAAGCAATACCTCTAAAATGAACTGCTGCTGGGCTATTTCACACCAGCATACTAACATTAGGTCTGTCCAAGCTCTTCCCTTCGTGCTTCTCCTACAGCTTCTCCAAGTACATGCTGCCAGCTGTGAAAATCTCTCCTGCAGAGCTAGGTCCACTGCTTCCCTCACTCAGAAGTCCTCCCTGAATGCCTTTGCAGTCTCCCCATCAACAGTAATAACATAGAAAGACATCTTCCTGTCTTTTGCCTCCTCCATTTTTTTGCCCGAGTCCACACTGACTATTTGTATTACCTGCACTGTGTTCTGAATTCTTTATGCCAATGTCCAGGAGAGCAGCACTAAGCTTGGGGCTAGAGGCAGTGCACCTCATTGGCAGCTCTCAACTGCTCCAGAGCTGCCTTTGGGTCATCTCCATCACAGCAGGACACTGGACCACATCAAATCTAATTACAGTTTTGGCTGCTGCTTTCTCAGTCTGCACAGCACTATTCTTGGACTCACTTTGCCAGCACTGTGACTTGGGATTTTTGACTCCTTCTCACTTGGCCATACCCATGGATACCCTCATACTGTTGGGTGAGCACCCAAGGGAAGGGGACCCACATGACAGCACCAGAGCTCAGCCCTCACCACGTGCAAAATCTCACCTTCCACAAGTAGCATCAACTTTCTGATCATAATCCCCATCTAAGTACCCTCCAGCTATCACCTTGCTGCCGTAAATTGGGATAGTAATGTACTGTAATCACATAATTCTGCCAGGAAAAGTAAACAAGAATGGCTGAGTGATTTCCAAACAACACACTAATGGCCAAAGTAGAAAATCTCTTGCTTCGCTTCTCCTCGAATCTTCCTTAAACCAGCCTTTTGCTGTTCATATTTATCGTGGGTTTCTTCCTCATTTTTAGGTTTATTTACCCAGAGCTAATGAATAACACTGAACATATGCTATAAACCACCATTAAGATGAAATTTGGAGAAAACAAAATTACTTTGGTATGATAGCTGAGAGGATGTATAACTATTAAGTGCCCAATGCAGATATTTGAAGGCTTCTTAGGAGAGGCCCCTTGAGATTTCTTGGTCAAATAAAGAGAGGCATTCTGTAGGAATTCTCTTTTTGAAGTTACACTCATTTTTGTAACAATTTGATGCAGATGCTGTTTAGAAAAAAAAAAAGTCTACTATGGACTTTTTCACATTCAAGTCTTTGTGTCTCATTTTTACTGATTACCACAGCTGTTAGAAGCAGCAAGGTAAGCAGTAGCAGCAGATGATGCCATGTGCGCTGATTTTAGTGTGGCTTTTCTCAATCTTTCAATACGCCCTTGCAAGCAAATGCGCACACATGAATAATATTCGGGAAGAGTGGAGTACAACAGCAGCACAAAGCTTGCTGGAAAGCTGGGTTTGCAAAGGAGCTGTAGATGACTCATTGTCAGAGAGGAAAGACGTGAAGGAGGCTTCACTAAATCACATCTCTGCCCGGTATTATTCGGTTGGATGTGTTCCGTTTCCTGTTGGTGACCCAAACGTTTCCATACACAGGGTGCTTGTTGAAGAAGATAGGAAGACTGCATGCACATGGGAGGACAGGATTAGAGCTTGGAATAAGCACAGAAAGGAATTTTTTTGATAAGGAAAATGATGCTATCCAATGGCACGTGCAAGCGTCCCTCCACTACTCTTGCAAGCACTGTTGCAAGTATTAGGTTATAGCAGTTCCTAAACAGATTGTGAATAACAAGAGTAGGAACAGATCTGGAGCCCATTTCAGCAAACATCTGTTGACTTTCAGCAGCCCTTGAGAACCTGGTGGCCATAAAGGAACAGACAGGGAAAGCTAATCAGTTTGAGACAGTTTCCCAGGTTTGGCAGCTTTTGAGACTATCAGTGCAAGCATTCAAACAGAGAACAAGGGAGACCATTGAGACATAGAGATTCAGCATACCCAAGAAGAGCTGGAGATACAGGGCAATGCACATTAACTTGAGGTTCAAAGGTGAGTTGTCCATAAGCCCTTGAAATGCACCGTGAGGAGCTGCAGCATGGGTTGCAGAGAACAGCATCAGATTGAGCACTTGCCCTGAGAAGTCAGTCATCCTGGCAGGTATGCAGAAGGGCACAGCTTTCAGAGGATGCTTGGATGTACACAAGGTGGAGATCAGCCTTATTTACATGTAACATTTTGCTAGAAGACCTGAATGGATCCCCAGACAGCTCCCTCTCCTCTCTTTGGAAGAGCACACAGTTCTGCACCCTGGTGCAGCACAATGAGGCACACAGTGACTTCCCCTGATCAAGCTTATTGCTTCCAGGTGCTGAGGTCTGAGCTCTGCTTCCCCGGCCACTCAGCCAGTTCTACTTTTCAGACAATTTTCTCATGCTCTCTTTGCTTATTGTAGTTAGAGTCAAAGCTCATGGACAGAGCTATTGACAGTAACCCCCTGTTTACTTAGATGCCAGAAAGCCCAAATCCAAACATCTCCGTAGTCCCATTTGCTTTATGTCCAGCTATGACGACTGTAGCACCAGCTGCTTGCGTTTCAAGTTTTATTTCTGCCAGCAGTGCTTCCCTTCCTTTTTCCTCGAGCCATACCATAAAAAGCTGTAACTCCATTTTCTCCCTTTCATCCCTGCATTAGCTCTGTAAACAGATTCCTTGTTTCCTACTCAAGCAAAGACTTCGGAAACCTTCACTGCCTGGGCCCAGCATTTTGTTTTCTCTGGTTGCAGTCGCTCTTCTGCATGTTCATTAGTGACACACTGCTCTGTTCTGTGATCCTGCATTACTTTCTTCTTTCCTAGCAGGGTCCTAAACTAAACAGCAAGGGAGATTGCTCAGAAGGCTTATGCAAGGCAAACAGCAGACTTGTAAAAAGCATCCTGCTGGAGAGGTGCTTACGCCTGGAGTGGTGTTCAGGAATACACAGATGACTCCACAGACAGCACTGAATTGCAAGATGATTTCCCTCCCTCCCCCCCCCACCCCCCCACCCCACTGTCAGTGATGACCAACTCTATTTCCTCCAGGAGACACCATTATAACTTGCACACCATGAGCTATCTCAGCTCTGGTCCTGTGTGCTTAGCATTTCCAGGCACCTGGGCACAAGTTGCCACCCTCTTCCTGCCCCTTCCAAAAGAGGCTGAATGAATGGATTACAGCCAGCTGATGGGAGATTCCCTATTATTTTTTTCCACTGTCCATCCAATACACAGGGGCCATGCAGACTGTGAACACAGCAGCACAGCCTTAATGGAGCAACGCTGCTCTAGCAATTGCAGCCCATTAGATGAATATAACCATGGCATAACAGCAGCAGCCAAAATGCCTTTAACTTCTTGTTTTCTAAAGTCGGGTCAGAGATCCAGACCTTCATGCTCCCAAGGTCTTCACTGTCCAACAGCAATGTCCTTCATGTTCAGATAGGTATAAGATCACTCTTTTTGATACTCCTAGCAGCAGTCCTATAAAAAGGTTTCATACCCTCTACAAAAAGGCCAAGAAGTCATCTCACCCACTAATTTACTACATGCTCTGCTCTCCAAACCAGCTTTCCACTGCAAATTCTCCTATACGACAACATTCCTCTAAATCTACTGAGAGGTTTCTTCTCCCTATAATCCAGTCTCTTACAGTGGCCTTTTCTAAAAGGGATCCTGCCTCTTCATGCCATTACTCAGCCCCATCTCCCCTGCTCCCTCCTTCTTACAGCTGCTGGCCAGCCACCTATTCTACTTTTGCAACATCAATGAGGCCCAAAGGCCAATAACAATTCTACAAGGACTGAGCTGCTCCTCCTTTTCAAGTCCTGCCCAGGGTTATCCCTGCCAGCCCCAAATCTGACCTCTTACCATCCCCCAGCCTACCAGTTATCCCCATCTCCAGGATCCCCACCCTGAGGCAATCTGCACTTCCATGCCACCCACCATTCCTATAACAGCAGCAGCCACGCAACTCATAATTCAAGCTCCCCTCCCAATCCCTGCATCAGAAGATGCCCACTTCCTTTCTTCTTACTCTGCTTGGCAGCAGCATCCTCCCAGTCCAGCAGGAAAATGCCCATACAATCCACAAAGCATCTTGCAAGGGATCTACAAGCCTACGTTTACAGCCCTACTGGCTGCACTGCCATCCTCTGCTTCCCAAGCCCTTCAGCATGCATACTGCTGAGACAGGTCCCTGCACTAAGCACACAGAGAGCAAGGAGCTTCAGCTTCTCCCTGTCCAAGCAGCATCTAAAGATTTTCATCTCTTCCCCTTGGAAACTTTTCAACCCCAAGAGGGTCCAAACTCTGACCTCCTCCAGCCCCAGCTCCACCCCCAAAGTGAAGGGGAAGAGACATACCTTGACCAAGAGCCACCTAGCAGCATCCCAGACCATAACAACAAGCACCATCCCAAGGTATTGAACCCTACTGCACCGCCACTCAGCTTTTATAGAGCTCAGACAGCTGCTCATTGGCAGAACCTGGGCACTCTCAGCCCCCTGTTTCCACTCTTTGCTTTCTCATCTCTCTCGTAGGCACACATGGGAGATGTGGCTGCTGTCACCTGCCCTAAGCTCCCGGAGAGTAGGAAAGCAGTAATGAAACTCCGACCTAACTTGCAAAACAAGTGGGAGTTTGTGGTGCTCTCCTTCCCTTTGAATATGCTCTGCTGGAATTTTAAACAGATTATGTAAGTGGCTCTCATTTAATCCATCTGAACTATCCTCTTTTAATCGCATCCGAGATCAAAGCTGCTGATTGTGAAATGAGCAGGGAGCACAGCCAGGCTCTCCCCAAGCTGTCCTGCACTGGGTGAGGAGGGGACAGGCTGGGGGAACCTGTGCACAACGCTCTTCTGCTTTGTTTCAAATACTCAGTGGGAATATGAGAGAGATGAGCATCCTCTTACTTGCTATGAAGTCATTGCAGCCCTTCAAATAAGCAGAGGGATATGCACGTGCCTGGACATGGGGGCATAGCAGCTGGCTGGAAAGCCACTCCTCAAAGAGAGAGCAGTTCTCCCTCTAAGATTTATATAGTTTACCTTTTTCATTTCTCCTCCTGAAGTCTGACATTTAAAAATGTGTAATTGTGTTTATCCCTGGCAAGCTGTGAATGGCTCCCCGGGCTGCCTGTGCCTCCTGCTCCGCTGTATAAATTACACTGACAGCCCCTTATTACAAAGGGAAAAATAAGTTAATGGAAAAGCAAAGCAGAAATAGATGCATAAAAATCCCAAAGTGCCTAAGTCAGCAGAATTGCCCCCACGTGACAGTCATTGCTGGTATTTAATTAAACAGGGATCGATCGTGCGGGTGAGTGTGAGTTTGTGTGTGTGCACACGCGGGGAGGAATCGGTACATTTATCCTGTATTTATTTAATTTTTTTTTATAGTAAAGTGGTATTATATTGCACTGGCAGTGACTCCACAGCAAAGCTGGAAATGCTGGAGAAGCCAGAGCTGGCCTGGGGATGTGACTTTGGGGATGGAGGCTCAGGGAGATGAGCCACGAGGAGCCATCCCCAGGTCATCCCTGCAGGAAGCTGAGCTGTGTATGGGGAGAAACATCCAGCCCAAGATGCCACAAACAAATGGGAACCACAGCAGCAAACCAGGATGTAAGCATAACCCATCACTGGTAAAGGTGGGTAACTCAGGCAGGGCTGGATGGAGGGACCCAAACCCTGCAGGATGGCTATAGGAGCAGAGAGGGTTGGGAAAAGGGGAAAGCTGCTTGGCTTTTCCATAGTGCAGGTGAGAAGGAAACACTGGGATCTCACAGCTTCTGGAAATGGGAGTGGGCATTTTCTGTTCCTTGTGACTCTCTGGGGGTTCTTTTGAAGATCAGGACCCCATCATGGGCCTCTGCTTCCCTATTTCCAACTCAGCCACTCAAAACATAATTAACCTCTGGGATAAAATGCAACACTTGAACAGGCTATGGGGGAAAACCAGGAAGGTTTTGTAAAAGAACCACATTTCAAGCAAAACCACCAGTCAGAGGTGGAAATGCTTTGTTGGCAACGCTCACCTGTGCCAATGGGAGCAGGAAAGGTTTTTCCCTCTGGGATATGCCTGGGAACCTCCTGCACCGAGTGCCCCTTCCCTCCTCTGACCCCATGGGTGAAGCCATGCAGCACAGGCTCCTGGCTGGATCGATCTGAACCCAGCCATCCTGGGAGCAGAGCGAGGAAGTTACCAGCTGCTGGAAATTGCACACAGCTCCTTTCATTTCCTTGCTTAATTGGAGGGAGCCAAGCCACATAGGGCTGGTGAGCCAACCACCAGCTCTGAATCACTGCTGCAAGAGACTGCCTGGGGCACCAGTTACACCAGTATGGTCTTAATGGGGCCAGGGACTGAAGAACCCCCTCTTCCCATACATTTGGAGTGCATGGCATAAATATATCTCTGCTCTTTCTGCTCCCCAGCCCTTCTCCAGCCATGATGCAAGAAAAGCATGGTGTTTTTGTTCCTCCCTTCTGCAGCAGCAAGCAGGTTTCACTCCCATAGGTGTTAACTGAGAATTTGATGCAAAGAAAATAAAACCCCAAACAAAACAAGAGGAATAATTTCTATTTTTGTTTGGTTTTATGTTCAGTCTTACAGCCCTGACATCTTCCAGATAATGACTGAAAATCCCTTCTCCGTGCAGTCTGGGCACCAATCAATACTCCACAAGCAATTTCCAGTGCTCGGCTCGCTCGTTAAAGACCTAACATTCCCTTCCCTGGAGAAGTGGGTGGCACAGTGACTCACAGAAGGCTCAGCAGGATGCCATTTCTACCTGATGCAATGCTGAAACACGGCTTGAAATCCAAAATCAGCCAGAAAAGCTATTTTCTGAACATCAGTGTTAGATGCTGGAGCCCTGAGGAGCCTTCCTCGGCAGGTCTCGGAGGTCCTGGCAGTGCCATCCTTTCTTGCCCATCACCACAAGAAAGAATGGGGTCACACACAATGTGAAGCCCATCCTCATCTCCAGGCTTTGTAAATGTGCTCGCGACGAATCACTGCAGTGCATCCATCCCAAGTGGCTGCTGCTGGGTCTTTCAGCAGGACTGCCCTTGCTGCACATGGCCTCTGGTCACACAGAGGTACATTACAGATGTCTGTGACTTTGCAGGGCTCCAGCAGCATCCACCCATCAGCCTGACAGCCCTGGCCCCAGCCATCAGCCCGAGGCAGATGCCGCTCTGCGGTGAGGCCCCTTTGCAGGAGGAGGCACAAAGACTCATCTGGGTTCATGGGTTTCTTCAGGGTCTCTTCCAGGACCTGGAACCTGGTCCTGGCTGATTGCATGAGGATCGTGCACAACAGCCACCTTCCTGCTGTAACCAGGTTAACCTCTCTGGCGGCATGGAAGCCCCCAGGGGAGCTCCTCAGGCTGACAAAAAGTCTTTCATTTCAAGTTGCTTTGCTTAATTACTCTAGGAGAAGTTTAAAGATGTGACATGCCACGAGCCTTTGAAGTTCAGAGAGACTTGAGCAGGTGCCATAATCCCCTTATTTTAATCCTGATGGCCAAGATATGCTGGCTGCCCTCTCTCCCAGTCTAGCAGGACTCAGGTAACTAAAAGCTGCAGTCTTTGCTTTCCTTGGATGGGAATTCTGGATTCATAGTGGTCTGACTTCACCGGGGCTGTACCAAAAGCAAAGTGTTTTGCAGCCTTATGCTCTGAGGAAACAAACATGGATGCTTTGGGCTCAGGAAAAGGGCTTGGGAAGGCTGGTGGCTTCAGTACCTCCTGTTACACTGCTCATCTGATAAGGAAAGTGTCACTTTAGCAAAGGCTGTGGCACACTCCCCCAGAAATACCTGGCGCTTTTCTCAGTTCCATGTTGGAAGAAGCTGCCAAAAGTCAACTCTGAATATCAGCTAACTACTTCAATCAAATTATGTAACTGCATGATGTGGAATAAGTTTAGAAATAAAGTCAATTGCAGAATAACAAATGATGTATTTACTGCGGTAGAGGTGCTTGAGCTTCCAAAGCTTACAAAATGTCTTCTTTTTTTTTCTCTTCCTCAAAATTGAATTTCCTTGAAATCAATGTATTCCCATGGAAATTCTTTATTACGACAAAATGCCATTTAAATGCCATTTTCTGGTGGAAATACTCTGTTGGTGCATTATTGACACAGTTCATCTACCGTGCTCATCCTTGTGGTAGAAACATGCCAGGCAAAACACACCCAGGGCACGTTCCTCTCCTCCTCCAGACAATCTGTTGCATGCCCCCAGACTGAATGGGCTCTGGGCTGGGACAGGAGGACTCACCTGTGTGCCTTGTCGCACTTTACCTGCAGAAGTCCCTCTCTGGCAAAGCCTTTTGTTTTCCTGTGCCCACTTAGTGCCACCCAAGACCCGTGATGAGGTCTTCTCCCAGCTCTGCCCATGTTGGACCCCATGAGAAATAGGAAGGCTCAGCCCATCCCTGTTTGGGGAGAGGCACTCAGACCTGTTGAGTTCCCTCTCCAGGCATGGGTGTCATTCATTTTGTACCCATCTTGCACTCCTCTGGCAATGGATTTGCATCTTTGCCTTTGCATTTCAGATGTGTGACTTCTCCTGCTCTGAGGATCCCATATGATTGTCACCAGACTGGTTTGTAGCCAGACTGTCTGGTTTTGTCCCCAAATGCCCTGGCCCCCTTGAATTCACAGCCCTTGCAGACTCCAGGCAGCCCATGCTAAGCGGCTCCAACCTTGAGACAGCTGCTCCCTGTATACTTTAATCAGTAAACCTGGAAAAAAATTATTTGAAAGGGGTCATAGCAGCTCCTGCCCCACCAGACACCAGCTGCCCGAAGCTCTGCTCTAACTCCTTCTGCAAACATCTCCCCTGCAAGGTCCCCTTGGCTGTACTCTCCCATAAGGATGAAAGGCCTTATTTTGTGCTAGGAGAGGTTCAGATTGGATATTAGGAAGCATCTCTTCTTTGAAGGTGTGGTGGTGCACTGGCACAGGCTGCCCAGGGAAGTGATGGTGTCATCATCCCTGGAGGTGTTCCAGAAACGTGGAGATGTGCCACTGAGGGTCAGTGGGAATGATGGGGGTGGGCTGGGGCTGGACCTGGGGATCTTAGCAATCTTTTCCAACCTTAATGATTCTACGACTATGATTCTACGTTGTCCCAGTTTCCTGTAAGAAGAAAAGCTTTTCCCAGACAATCTCCACTCCAGGAAATGCTCCCAGCCATCTCCGCACTTCATGTACCCAACTGGAGAACACTTGGAGGACATCATGAACCTACTGCCTTGCAGTGAAGAGTGAAGATATGAGTTTGACACGTGGGCATCCTCCCTTTTTTACCATGGAAGCATCCAGGGAGGTGGAACACTTTTTCTCATTCTGCAGCACCTCTTTCTGTTGGCTGTGCTTGCATTGAAAAGGAGTCT